GCATATTATATGGCTCTGGGCTTTGCCTTTATTTTTGTGTGATACGTATTTGTATCAGCACTGCAAGGGTCGTATCCTATTTTGGAGGGACAGGGAAAATGCAAAGGAGAAAGCAATTGTTTCCAAGTCAGAACCACCTGGTTTTATACTTGGTTCAGTCACTACACTGTCAAGGTCTGTATTTCCCTCGGTTTGGGAATGCCCCATAAGAGAACTCTCTCCACTGACACTGAGAGAGCAACCTATCTTTACCTTATAGTTCTAAAGATGGACTGAGGCTCAAAGAGTTTTAGTAATTTGCCTAAAATCACACAGCTAGTCAAAGAAGCATGAATTAATCCCAGGTCTTCCTGATTCCAAGTACAAGGACACGGCTTTGGCCAATAGTACAAACTTCTTCTCCAACTACTTGAATTCATACCACATAAGTACATAGGCAGAAGCCTCTTTCTCTTTGGTCTACCAATGCTAATCAACACCAAAGCAGCTTATGAAGTCTAGTAGGATTCTCCTGTTGATGCCTTCCTGTGTCTCTCATCACCATGACACTTAAACTTAAAATGAGCATTCAGTCTGAGTAATTAATTTTCCTTTTGTCCCTCTGTCCAGTTCACTTACATTTGAGACTCGACAATTCAAGCTGCTGAATATAATGAATATGTGTGAATATATATCATATATATTGTATATTGCATATATTATATATAACATATAATGAATGATAATTCATGGGAGCCGCTGACAGGTTTTACATACTTCTACTCTGCGTACAAACTGAGGAAACAGAAAATGCTGGTAGTAGAATAATGAACAGAGGCCAACATGGAAGACAAGATAGATCTCAGGATCATGAAAGGTTAGTTATTTCTAAGAAATAAAAATGAACTGCAAGATATTTTAGCTATGGGCCAAACAAAGCAAAGCTGTTTTTTCCTTGTTCTGTGGAAGGGTCTATTGCCAGATTTTTCCATCTTCCGGTCTCAGTTCCTAATCTCTGTATATATTTTACATTGGGGGTGCCTTAACACATGGGATCTGAGATGAGTGCCCATAAGGCTTCTGATCTCAACCTTTTGCTTTCTTTCAAATGACCCGGACTCTTTACTCATGGTGGCCTACATCTTCAGAGACTTTGGCCTCAGGGGAAATCAACTCATTTTTGAGGATAGGCGATATAGGGAGATCATTCCACTAGCTTCCTCTAGAATAAGGGTTTTTAGCCTAGTGTCCATGAACTTTTAAAATATTTAGATAATTATTTCAATGTAAATGGTCTCCTTAATAATCCTTTATATTGTAATTTTATGCATTTAAAAACATTATACCCAGGAAGGGTCCATATGCTTCACCAGACTGCCAAAGGGGTCCATGACACAAAACAAGGTTAAAAACCTCTCCTTAGAATGATGTCAATAGAGTCACCAGAACATTTGAGGGATCCAGAAATCATCCTGTTAGCCCATACTATGATTCTAATCCTGGAGTTAAAGAACCTACGTAGAAACCCTGCTTCTGATGCTTACTGTTCCCTATGTTGATCTTGGACAAGTCACTTGACTTTCATGCACCTCATCTGGTCCCAGAGCATGCTTTACATTCATCCAGCCCAGATACCTTGCCATCTGCACTGTCATGACATATACTATAGTTCACCCCCTTCCCACCTCTAAGTGGGATCTCTAGGAACAGGAATCAAATCAGTACAATCATTGCTTCTGGAAAGGAAGTGACAATTCACTGATACATGACTCTACTTACTATTCCTGTAACTCCCTAAATCAAAATTCCCTTCCCTGATCACCAACCATCCCCCTATATGTGCATTCCCCCCTCCACCTTATTAGAGTATAGGCTCCTTGAAGCCAGGGACTGCCTCAATTGTATAATTGTATTACCCCCATTTAAGCAGCACTATGTCTGCTTAGCAATTCATAAATGCTTTTTTCATTTGTTTATTCAGTTTCCTCATCTGTGAAATGAGAGGTTTGGATTACACAGCCTTTAAGGTTCTTTCTGATCCTAGCTCAAGGATTCTCATCCAAAGATGGTCATCTACTTATCTATGGTACTTCTACTATTTTAACATTAAAAGCTCCCCTAAGTTTATCATTTTCTGGGTTTTAAAATATAGCATTTAGAACAAAGAGTAGGTAATCATAAGAAGATATTTCATTAGCTAAAATTGTGTCTGAGAGTAGTAGAATGTTATTGTGGCCTGGCGCAGTAGAATGATTCATTTGGTGTCAAAGGACTGGGGTTCAAATCTGGATTCTGCCACTTACCTGTGTGACTTTACTACCAATGCCTCAGTTTCCTCATCTTTAGAATAAGGGGGTTGGACCACACGGTCCCTCAGGTCCCCTCAGGCTCTAGACCTGTGACCCTCTGAATACAAAGGTGATCCTTGGTTCACTCTATCACCAAAACCCAGATGACCACCCAGAGTTGACACATTGGATCAGACCCAAGCATTTTTCCAGCTCAGAGCTGTCTCTAATAAATTTGGGCCACCATCTCTCACACTCTAGATTTCCTTCATAACAAACTTACATACATACATGTACATAAACACTTAACCAAATCCTTTTTTTACCCTAAATGTCATTAAATTTAGCAGACTAGAACACCACAGAAGCTAGAGAGCAGGAAAAATGGAGAAAGTGCCAGCCTCTCTTTCCCAAATCAATCTGCAGTTAAATAGCAAAGATGTCCCCACTGAGCTTAGGGTCTTAAAGGGACAAGGAAGAGGATCCCTTTTAAGGCCCAAAGGTACAGCACTTAACCTTGAATTGGACTGGGAAGCAGACTGAAAGTCAGGGTTGGTACTAAAGGCCCCCGTAACGTATTCCCAAACTACTCACTTATCTAGGATTTTAAATTGCATCAAATTTCCAGGCCTAGGGAAAACAATTCCCAGGAGTGAGAGGTTAATTTATCTGCAGGGGAAAATAAATGGGTTCCCACTACTTTGCTGATCCTTTTGCCTCACCCCCCCACCTCCCTTCCCCAGGTACCAAGAAGCAACAGTAAGTAACTCTAAAGAGAGACCATGGAGCCCTCTGGTGCAACATGGCTTAAAATCCACATATAGCTTAACAAATCTCATTAACACTGGACTTTGGAATAAGGAAAATTCCAAAATAACAGACTTGATGGACAGCTACAATGGAGGAGGCTTTAGCACCTGTATTTTAGGCTTTATTTAAAAATATATCTATATATAAGAAATATTTTTTAAATGATGTTTGTTTAGACTGACTGGAAAAATGGTTGCTGGGGGAGAACCAATCCTAGGAACTCTTGCTTGACATAAACATAGATAAAGGAAGTAATCATGTAAAGGTCTCCCTAGGTACAGTTTACTTTCAGAGCAAAGATAGGTTAAAAGCAGCCCCCGGGTTCCTCCATCCCATCCTCCATTCCCGGATACCTGGTGATTCTTTGGCTTCCAAGTTGTGTCAAAAGAAAGGTTAGCAAACCTAGCTCAGTTCTAGGATTGGAAGGGGAAAGGAAAGCTCGAGAGCATTCACAGGAAAAGCGTCATTTGGAAGCCCCTTCAACACAAGTTCATTTTTCAATCAAAGCACATTAACTGCAACAATTCCCAACCCACCAGGAAGCAAGCAGACTAACTAATGAGAACCGTAAGAGAGACATCAGTTCATGGGAAAAAATAATTTTCTTCAGCCCATCCCCCTCTTCCCAATCCTGAGCAGGCATATGCCCGTTTTCCTAGATATGCACACCAGCAGCCCAGGTCTACAAGCTGCACCGGGTGGCATAGCCGGTTCCACTATCCATCCCCACCATTGCTTTACTTTTGAGCAGAAGGATAAGTGAGCTAAAAATACAATCTAGGATTAAATTTCTTCAAGACTTCAGATAATCTAAAACCAAGCCTAGGCACTGCTCTAAAAACCCCATGCCCTCTGCAGCAGCCATAGCTCAGTCCTTTCCTGAACCCATAACCCCGATAGATTGAGAGATAGCATGTGCTGCAATGAATGACTAGGCTCACACCAAGTCACACTATGGTCACCTGTACTTCAAGGAATCACTCAATGGACTGAATGACATGTACCACCTATAGTGCTAAACAAGGGTTCTTAATCTTTGTGTGTGTGTGTGTGCGAGTCTATCAATGTCTAGGGAAACCAATGGACATCACTCCTCAGAATGTTTTTAAATGCATATTATAAAATGAATAAAATTTCAAAGGGAACCAGTTATACTGAAATGTAATTATGAAAACATCTTTAAAAACACGAGTTCATCAACTCTAGTTTAAGAACTCTTACGATCAAGGGAACTTTCTCCAGTAGAAAACGTAAAACCTAAACCCCAAATCCACACCCAACCACTCAGAAATCATACTGGAGAATACTGCAATTGTAATTCCCTAATGGAACATGCAGAGTAGGGATATATAAGGAAAGAAAAAAACCTAAGATATTAGAGGGGTAAGAATTAACTGACTCACAGTTTCAGCTTTTGAGGTAACTCCTAGCTTGCTTGTATCTCCAAAAATTCAAGAAAACAAAAAAATCTCATTTTCAAATGTCTCCTAAATATCAGCCTAGTTATGGGCACAGTTTACTATATCCCAGTGATATGAATGTGACCCTAACGGCCTGAGATGGGAAAGAGGAAGGAAACTCATCTTTAGATTGTCCAATGGAGCTTATTTCTTTCACTCATTTAAGAAAGCTCTCAGGTTTCGAAAATGGTTTGAGTTGGTCCTCATTTGAAGGGCAAGCATTTCTGACAATTAGGTACAATATTGGGCACTTCTCATTTATCAAAGTGGTCCCAATTTCAGAGTATAAATGGTAGCTACCTAACAAACAAGTTCCCTAACAGCATGAAGTGTCAAAAGCACAAAGAGAATCACAAATTTTCAAATCCAAAGACTTCAAGTAGTCTTCCCAAAAATCAGATGAACTTCTGCTGAGCGTTGAACTCCACTTGTAGGCCTCAAAGGAAAACCAGGAAGGAACACATTGTACAGAAAAGCAAACAAACAAACAATACCCTTTTATTTTTAAAGCTCTGGTGAAAGAATAAGCTTCCAAATGACATCCCACTTTTTTTTTAAAAATTGTAAACTAACCTACCTCTGGGTTAGTCACACTATACAGACCGCATCCTAACTCTTAAAAGATGCCTAAACATTTCATGGAGTATTTACAAATGTATCAGTTAGGTAGTAAAGTTTCATTGCAATCTTTCTAACTTTCTAGCACATATTCCACAGTAAAATAATGGGGCTATATTTGCATTTTTTGTATAAAACTTATTAACAAATGGAGAAAGGCAATTTTCCTGAGAGAAGATTTGTTCTTGAAATATGTTTTGTCTAACAAATAGGAAATATAGAGATGGGATGTTCTTGGTAAAAAAAAAAAAAAAAAAAAGAAAGAAGAAAAAATGCACAAAGATGTCTAGTTAACTTTTTTAAATTATTTAAAGTACCATTAAGTTAAAATGTTTACATTCATTATAAAAAATGTTGTTAAATCTTATGCAATGATTTAACACTGATTGCTGCAACGCAAATTGCACTTCTTAAAAAATTATTGTATACATGGAAGAAAAATATCTTGTTTGCTACCCTGTTTACAAATTCTGACTGACTTCACATCAGCCATACAGAAGATGAACTTTCAAAAACCTCAGTCACAGTGTATGTTACAAAGTTATAACGCAGTCTTAAAACTGAGGAATATTTTTAATGAAAGACATCAGGAACCAGCTCGACCTTGGGAGACTTGTGCCAAACAGCCCCATTTTGCTTTCTTCCATGAGTGTTCACATAGGAGCTCTGATGTGAAAAGTTAGGAAGAAAGTCTGTGGTCATGAAGAAGCTGTTGGTCAGTTTCAAGGACATCAGAATTCTAGCTCAAACTGTGTGTTATTTGGGGCAATCAATGCTCAGAACTCTTTTTGTCTTCTTAAATCTCTCCCGGCATCCTTTAGAATGACAGCCCCAGATAAGTCCCTTTATCCAGCATGTGGAAGCAAGGACGAGGAAGTCACATCAGCATGCATCCTGCATCCCAGAGGCAGGCAGGCAGGCTGGGCTGGCTGACTGGCTGGCTGTGTTGAAGACGCATGAAGCAGGCCTAACAATAGAGGAGGAAGGACGATATTCTCTTTGGTTGTATTATCTTTACCCTGGAAGAAATCCATCTTCTCTCATTTCTCTTGCATAGATGAGGAGTTGGACGGTAAGGCAGAAAGCCTCTTTGGAAAAACACCTCTATCACAATAAAGGCACAAAAAATGACACATCAGAGGAAAGTTCTGCCAGCATCTTCACTGCTGTATAGACTGCTTGAAAAAAAACATTACAGAAACTGTGGGCGTCTAAAGGTCGAGGCGCCCTCTCTCCCATCCCCCATCCATGGAGGTCTCCCAACTTCCTTTTTCCACTGAATCAAGCAAGTGCTAAAGCACACCATGAATCCTGTCTCACAGACGCTGTAACTTCAGCCGTGGAGGTCAGGCTGACTCCTGAGTACAGCCCATCTTGACCTGAATACTTGAGAGCGGTGCTTTCAGGGCTAGTGTTCTCTCCTGGACCAGACATCACTGAGGATCCCGCCTAGTGAGAAGGGGGGAGGGGGAGGGAGAGGAGAAAGCAAAACAGAGAAAGAAAGAAAAAAAAGAGAGAGTGACAAATTTACTATTTATTTAGCACAATTTCATTAGCTGCACAGATCATAACTATATGGAGGACTGAAAGAAGGGCCTATGGCCTTAAACAGAACGAGAGCACAGGAACCAAGAAAAGGATGCAGCTGCTCTACCTGAAACAGGCAGCCCAAGGTACTGGTGCAGCACTAACCCAATGCTGGCAATTTAAGCTTTTAGAAACATTATCCTGTTATCCTTATTACTCATGGCAGTAGCCTCCCAGGAAGATAAACAACTGCACTAGGCTAGGGTACAAAAAGGAAACTGGAATAATCCTTTTTATAAAAAGTACCAAGCAGGAAGGACCTCCTGGTCCAGAGAATAAAGCTTATGGGGTTGGTACAAAAGCCTTAATGACTGCACGCCCAAACTAGCCATTCCGAAAGGGATATAAACAGCAAAAGTGTTGCATACACATAGACACACACACAAACATAACAAACACATAAAAAACTATGATAGATCTATATAACCCATGAGGATTGGTATTTCCATCAAAGCCTGAATAAAAAACACCTGATTCAATACTACTTGACAAATGAGATTTCTGAGCAGAAGAAAATTAATCCAAAGCCATCCTAAATTTAATCTCTCTCATACCTAAAATCTGTCCTAGAAAACTGGCCAACAGTTGATCCTCATTTCTTTATAAAGAATTTCTACACCCTATCTCTATCATAGCACGGCCATCATTTCTTTCAGTCAAAGTTCATTTTCCCTTCTTAATTTATTCATACTGCACAAAAGGGAGAAGTCAAACAGATGTCTTCCTATGATAAAGTGGAACCAATCATATGCAATTAATAAAATTCATACATATTTTCAGGGGCATAAAAAGAGAGAGTTTCTATGACAAAACTCAAAACGTATTCAGCTGCAAACTTTGAGGGACCAGGATTCAAATATTGCTTCTGAAGTGTTCCTCTTATGTGACCTTGCACTCCCTTACTTAACTTCCCTAGGCCTATTTCTTCTTCTGCAAATTGAGGGTGTTGGACTAGATTGCCTCGGAGGTCCCTTCCAACTGAGATCTGCACTCTCTTCTCTTATTTGTTTATCTAGTTACTTTTCCCCCCAGGAACTAAAAGAATTTTGCAAATACTGACTCTAATCCAAGGATGAAAGGAATTAATGGCTCACATCTTGAAGGTGTGTCAACTTCTTCAGGCTAATTTAGCACCTACTTTTTCTAGAATACTTTATATTTTCCAAAACTTTTTTCCCATGTGGTTATATCATTGTAGAGTCTTAAAAAAGAATCATGTGAAAATGCTAATGATGATAGAAGAAATGATTTTATGTGCAAGATAATTTGGAAATGCATAAAACTAAATTAATGTCATCTGACTGGTAGTAAATTTTGTTTCATCTTTTAAATATGTAATATTGTGTAGTTATTATTGTGTTTCTAAGTTTTCTTGTATTGTGAATTTGAGAAAAACATTGAATAAGAAATGTTGTTAAAAGGATAATGCAATTGTGTCATTGGAAAATTTGACTTCTTTTAATTTAATCTGGAAAAAAAAATAGTGAGGTGGGATAAGGCAGGTGCTCACCACTCCTTGGGCAGCTGAAGAGACTAAGATACAGTCGTGTCCATCAAGGACTTGGAGAACAGACTATCACATTCTTTGCTCTACTTTGAGCAAGCCTGGTAGCTGGGACCAGGCTCCTGTATTTGTGGCATTAAGTAAAGATAACCTGAACAATAGCTCTGGGTCACTATAAAATAAAGGGGTTGATGAAAGACTTAAAATATTCTTATCATTACACTAACCAACAATTCCAAAGGATTCATGATGAAACATGCTACCTGCTGCCTAAAATAGAAAGGACAGAATCAAAGTGCAGATTGAGACATATATTTTAGAAGGAAGTCGAGGTCAATGTGACAGTTTGTTTTGCTCGATTATATGTAGTTGTCACAATAGTTTTACTTCCCATCTTTTTTCAAGGTGGGGGAGGAGAAGAAAAGGGAGCGAAGATGGATTTTCACTAATTAAAAAAATAAAACTTTGAAACATTTTGAAATAAAATTAAGGGGGTGGGCTAGGTAAAAATCAAAGGGCCCTTCTAAGTCTTATTATTCTATTAAAAGAAAAAGTATCACTCTCAAAGGTGCAGAGGAAGTAGCCTTCATTTCCTTTGGTAGAGTCAGGTTTACTTGTTTGTTTGTTTTTTAATGTCAGCAATCTGACATAGACTGTGACAAGCACAGTCCAGGACCCCAAGTTTTCTGATTAGGCAACATCAACATTCAGCTTCTCATTTTGTTGTTCAGTCATTTCAGTAGCATCTGACTTTTTGTGACCCTATTTGGGGTTTTCTTGGCAAAGATACTGAAGTGGTTTGCCATTTCCTTCTTCAGCTCATTTTACAGATGAGGAAACTGAGGTAAGCAGATTAAGTGACTTGCCCAGGTTCACAAAGGTAGGAAGTATCTGAGGATGGATTTGAACTCAAGAAAATGAATCTTCCTGACTCCAGGCCCAGCACTCTACCCACTGAGCCACCTCACTGCCGTCTCAGTTCCTCAAGAAGTAGGCAAAAAGATGATAGGATTTAAAACATGAAGGGACCTTCAAAATTCTATACATCAATCAATAAGCATGTATTAAACATCTAATATGTGCCAGATATTGGGCCAGGCTCTACATCGTCTAGTCTATAACACCTTCCAATTTTAGAGATGAAGAAACTGAGGCCCAAAGAACTTAAATGACTTGCCCAAGGTCATACAGTTAATAAGATGTAGAATTGGGACAAGAACCTCTGACACAAAACCAGTGGACTTCTCACTCCACCATCTTTGCCTCTCTGTCTCTTACGTAACATTTCCTTCTTAGCTAGAAACCAAGGTCTATGACAACATATAAAAATCCGACCAGCAACAAAGTGTCACCTACTTCTTAAAAGATATAGACTTGAGTATTTTAATCGAATGATGTTAAAAAAAAAACAACAACAACAACAACAACAATTTATATGATCCTATTAGTGAGGTATCTAAAATTTTAAATGGATACTTTTCATAAATACAAAGTATCAGAAATGATTCTAAGAACTTTATCCAACACTTACTAGCTGTACGAACTCTGGGAGACTCTATTAACCTTACTTAGCTTCAGTATACTCACAGAGATGATAAGAGCACTTATCTCACAGAGGTGTTGTGAGTTTCATATAAGATAATATCTATTAAGCCCTTTGCAAGCCTCTAAGCACTATTTGAACACTAAGTATTGACATTCCCATTCTATTACATTGTATAATATATTCCTTAAATATAGATATGATCCTAGTTATGGATAATTCACTATCACCTCCTCTCCCAAACAAATCAAGGATCGATATTTATTCCACAAAAGGATTCTTCACTTTAAAATGTATCCACCAATAGTATTAATTAAACGAGAAAGCTCCTCAAAAGTATTTCAAATCATTCTAATTATAAAAATTAAATATATGGGAAACTTTTTATGAATGCACCTATAAGTAAAGGTACAAATGATCCATTTAACCAGAATTTTTTTTCCCCTGAGATTGGGAGTTTTCAGGCTCATTAAAAACCTCACAAACCACTAGCATTCCCTTTTATTTTCAGGAAGTGCTACATTAAGCAAAGGGATGGTCACAATCACCTTCATCAACAACTAGTCCTATCTATATTAGTCCCAATCTAGACCATGTATTTTTTTCCCTAACCTGGCTTCTATAAAGTCAATAGTTGCCTCTGTTCAACTATAATCAGTGTTCTTTCTCAGTGGATGCACACAGAGGATTGTCTTTTCAAAGATCTCTCATTTACAGCTGATGACCTGTCTTCTGACTAATCCACTACTTTGTGCCATACTTCAGCCACAAGATACTATGCTAGAACATCAGGGATCAGGTTGCTTAGGATTCAATTGTGAGGACAGTCATATACCATTAAAAAATAATAAAATTTTAACAGGGTAAGTGCCAAATGTGTGACAGAAATAATGAGTGGTCTGAACAACAGGGCTTGGGATGGTTGGGAAAGATTTTCACAGACCAAGTAGATCTTGACCTAGGCACAGAAGGACAGGTGGAATGAAAGTAAGATGAAAGAAAGGTAGAAGGTATTCTGGAGACAGAAAGTGGAGAAGGGAAAGTGGGGGAGAGAGAAGGTAAGGAGGGGAGGGGAAAGGTAATAATACGCAATATAAGCAGCCTCCTCCAAGTGTGGTTAGTAATGGGAAGCAATTAATAGATCAACTTTATCAGAATGGAAAGTTTGTGTAGGGAAATCATAGGAGATGAAGTCAGGAGAGGTAGGCTATGGTCAGGGTTGTGAGAGAACTCATAAGCCATGCTAAAGAGCTTTAAAAGCTGTCCAAATTCTATCACTCTCTAAAGAAGAATCAGCACTATCACCGAGCTTAGAAAGTAGAAATGGGAATCAGTCCAAGGTGAAATGATGTGACAACCGTTTTTCTAATTGCTCTTTGGGAGGGGAAAAGAGGGAAGGGTGTCACTTAGAACAACAAACAGCCCAAGAGATGGGGAAAAGGTATGGAAAGAAGGCAGGAGGGCACAAAGACAAAGCAGCTTCTTTTCGATTTTGCATAAGACCCTAAAGATGTACAAGGGGACTCCTAAAATGTTCTCAGTGCCACCTGGCTGCTGATCCTGGTATTCCCCTGAAGCACACAACTGTTCTGTACCACAGTGCTCACAGAGAGTAAAGCATGTATACATGAATCAGTGCACCCTTGAATCCACTTAGATAGGGAGTCTAGAATTAGCAAATGCCAGGGCACTCAACTCCTCTCTTTTACAAATCCGGCCTTTTCACTTTCATATGATATTGCTGCCTTTGTTCTTCTTCCCCTCACTTCCACATCCTGGGTTCCCTCCTTTTCCTTGGAGGCTAAACTACAACAC